AACTTCAAGTCCATATCTGCTAACTCCATTATCTCTGTCACTTCTGGATGTGTTTCCAAGCGAGATGTTTTCCATTTATAGGCTGTTTTCCTGTTTCTTGTCTTGTTTAACGATTTTGGAGGGGAGCATAGACAATATAAACACAGTCTTCTTGAACGCTGTGTGTTGTCTTCATTTAAGGAGGGCAGGTCATTGTTCTTTTTTCCTTTACTCCTTTAGAAGTTACTTTACTATGATGTTTTTACTTTTTGAGACTTGCACAAAAGCAGAGGATGTATTTACATCATATTTAACTCCCCCACCACAGCTCACCTTACTCTGTCCAAGCCTTAAGTTTAATTCAGCTGACTCTGGCACAGTTTTTACTCTAGGCATTGGTTAGCTCTTCTGCCAAGACGAGCCACTTCCGGGTCTTCTCTAAGTGCTGAGGGCAGAGACTGACTGCTCTACTTAGCCTCAACTCCACTCCCTGCCCCCTTGGAGGTCTGCCGAGGGCTCGTTCCGCAGCAATTTGGCCATTTGATCCCTGGCTTCACTGAAGTTTTCACTGTGTGCAAGTGCAGGGCACCCGTACCTCTGACATGTAGACTCCTACTTTCTGTAGCCTCCCTTCCCTCCAGAACTCTACCCACCTCTTTCAGGTGCCTTAAAATTCTGTTCAAACTGCCGGGAGGCCACTCTGCTCTTACTACCGAGTCTCAGCACTACCATCAAAGCTGTTCCTAAACAAGACACTGTGTCTGTGGTGGAGCCCATGTCAAATATTTCCCTTTCCTAAGACATCATGGTCTTGGATTTCCTATGTTCTAATCTCTGAAAACATCTGCTTCTGATATTTTAGCCAGTGTTTAGCTGTTTATGACACAGGGGCAACCCTAATCCTTGTGTCAACAATGACACAGAACCAACTGCCCACCTTCCAGTACCTCTCATCCGTGCGCAGTACAGAACCGATACACGCTCACCTCCGGAATGCAAAGCTTCCAGTTTATGACATCCTTAGGATGTTTTGTTCACTTGTGGTGCTAGAGGTCAAATCCAAGGCCTTGCACATGCTAATCAAGTGCTCTTCCACTGAGCTATATTTCCATGCTAAATCTTGTTCATTAAGATGTATTTGACAGCTATTATGGGATGTGAGTGAGGAGCATGACTTTTACCTATCTAGGAAGTAAACACGTAGTACAAAGCGATCTGCAGGGGAAGAGAGGTGCTACAGTCTAGACTCAAGCCATTCCGTTCTGGATTAACCAAGTGTTTACAATCCAGGATTTATCAGAACCTTGTTATTTTGAAACATATTTTAGTCTCTCCTTACAGGAGTAGACAAAGCAAAGTTTGTCAAGATAATCCAGCATCTCTCACATGTATTCCACCCTTGATAAGTGGGTGTTTGGTGTTCAACAACCACAAAATCTATTACTTAAAATCAAGAAAAATAACATACCCTAGTAATACAGGGGTTTTTTTTGGGGGGGTGAGATGATAAAAGTGTTTATAATTAGATTATGATTGACAACTTTATAGAAACCCTAAATATACCATTGAGCCGTGAACTTTATTGTGTGTGAACTGTATCTTGATAAAGCTTAAAAAAAAAACCTTTATTTGAAATAATTGATGTGAATTTTATCTCATTGCTTCATCACAACTTTATGCAATAATTGTATCCTTTTCCATGCCCATCTGCATCATCCTTAGAGCAACAGGATGCAAAGTACTTAATTTCTGGCAATGATTGACGTAGATAACATTTTAGTATGAAAAGGCTGGGTGTAACCAAAAGAAAATGAGGACTATTAGGAAGTGAATAGATCATTTTGAAGGTGTTCTCTGGAACCTTCCCTGGCAATGAGAGAAGCATGAGGCATGCAACACGAGGCTCTGCTTGGGGTTTTGTTTTGTTTTTGTTTTTTTGGTATCTGTATCCTATAGACTGGAGGAGAGGTCCATTGCTAGAAACATGAAAAGTGCTAGGAATTAACATTAAGCTGTACATTTTATACAAAGAAGCCCCTTCTCCTGAATGAGGAAGATCTGACTCTTTTGCCATAAAGCTTAAAGCTTAAAGAGTCACAGTCAGCAAGAGACCTGTTTGCACTGGCTTCGGACTGTATTCAAGTTATTTACGTAACTGTCTCATCAACAGTCTGGTCAAGGCAGTGTATGCCTGTAGTGCCCCCTTCTCAGCTTCTCAGGAGGCTGAGACAGGAGCATGGCTTGATCCGGAAATTCAGGGCCAGTCTGAACACCACACATCTCCAAACTCCTCCAGATCTAGCCAGCTGTTGTGGTGCACATCTGCAGCGCTAACATACAAGAAGCTTGGAAAGGAGGGCTGCTGAGAGTTTGAGGCCAGCCCAGGCTATATAGCAAGACCCATTCAAAGGAAAACAAAATCAAAACCAAAAGGCAAACAAACAACCAAATTCTTTTTAAAGTGGTTTAGATCTACCCCTCTGTTTTTCTTTAATTTTGTCCATAAGGATGTGACATGCTGGTATCATTTGCTAAGAGAATATCACACAATAGAGAAAGGATCTTGCTGCCTTCCTGCCTGGGGCACCTCAGTTCTCTACTCTGTTGAGTAGAGAATTCTGCTCCTGGGTCCTCAGTGTCTTCCCCAGTGCTGTGGTTTATTTTCATGTCATCCCCACACTGTGTCAATCTAAACACTTCCTAAACATCTAACACCCAGCAGCGTTCCCGAGAGAGAGTTTACTAATCTGTAATGCTAGCCTAAAACCTGGGTGCCCTCCTGCTTCACCGACTCTGATGTCAGGCCTCATATCCTTAGATCTAATCATTGAGTTACGGTTCCTGGAAACTCACACAGGGGATTGATGAGTTGCGGTATGGTTCCTGGAAACTCACACAGGGGAATGATGAGTTGCGGCTGGGCTCTCTCTACCCTTGCATCTGCGGCTGTGGCAGGTTATCTCTCTGACTCCTCAAGGACGTGAGAGTTTAGGTAGGGCAGATTTCTCAGGCTTTACAAGTTCAAGTTAACACTTTCAGATTTTTAAATGTTGTTATTACAGTTATTTATTCTGTATGTATGCCTGTGTGAGCACCCGCAGGTGTGCATATTCTAGGCCTGTGTGTGGAAGTGAGAGGAAAACTTTCAGGGGTCCGTTCTCCCCTTTAACCACGTGGGTCCTAAGGATGGAACTTGAGTCATTAGGCTTGGTGGCAAGTGCCTTTACCTGTTGAGCTGCCTTGCAAGCCCTCAAGTTAATAGTTTGAATTGTCTATTATTGTTATTACACACAGACACCAGAAGAAACTCTAATCATTATTACCTTTATTTCTAGGGAAGCATCTGGCATCTTAGCTAAAGAACATGGAGTTTTGAATCACAAGCTTAGTTTATAACTCTGCGCTGGTGTTGATGAGCTGAAGGTCTTTAGACAAATATTTAAGGTCTCTGAATCTTAGTCCACGCCTTTATAAATATCTCACAGAGAAGATGAACTTACTCAGAGGAAATGTTTATCACAGTGACTATTGCTGAAGCATGGCTCAGAAAAACAATCAGTGATGTGGTGTGGATTGTGAATTAGGCTCAAATTCCCATGTGTCCCAGGGTACAGAGCTATTAGGAAGTGTGGGACTAAGACTCAGCGGGAAGGAGTTAGGTCACCGGGGACTTGCTCGGCCAAGGGGACTTAAACCCCCTAACTCCCCCTTCTCTCCTTTTGCTCCTTGGCCCATGAGGAGAACAGGTTTCCTCTAGTGCACACTCCCTGCCTGCCTTGATGTCACACCTTGCCACAGGCGTAAAACGTAAAAGAGCCATTCAGTCATAGAGTAGTCTCTGAAACCGTGAACCAAAATTAGTCTTGTCTCTTTTGAAGTTTATTTTCTTTTCTGGTCCTTTATATAAAAATACAAAATTGCTGAGCACAGTTTAATATCAATATTGACATTTATTGTTCATCTCAGGTTATTATCAGCTCAATTATTCAAGTAGGACATTACTTTCTCAAACATTTACTAGAAAGAAAATATTGAACATTAACCTTATTTAAATAACCTGTGTAATCACTTATTTATGCTTGGTTTAATGAGATGGAGTCTTGCTGTGTAGCCTAGGCTTATACTCAAGATTCCCCTGACATCAGAGTGATTGTATTACAGGTGTGCATGATCATGCCTAGATCTACTTGTTTTAAGCGAGTGGGTTTCTCTCTCTTTTCTAGTAATGTGTTGGAAACATCTAACTTGCAGAATATGACCTAAAGAGAATAACCAAACTATCCAGACTATGAAGAGATGGTTATACTCCTTTAGATAATTTCATAGCCCTCAAATACTCTAAATAATGATGATTGACATGAGCCAGGTGGTACACTACATCAAGGCTGTGGTGTGGGAAGATGACTTCTCTAAATACTGAAAAGAGAAGGTAGAACTGATCCTTTGCTTCTCTGCCCAGACTGAAGTCTTTGTCACTGATGTCCATGCAACTCTTTTTGCTAATTACAAAATTCATTTCAAAATTAGTTACAAAATGAAATCATAAAAGTGATGTCAGAGCATTCTGTCCAGGAGCAATCACTTGCTTTGTAACATTTTGCTTATAAATTCCCCAAGATTAGAGTAGACAGTGAACTGATGAGGGCCTTTTTAACCCATCTACAAAGTTAGGTGACTGATCCATGTAGTTTCTACAATCACCCCAGGCCTGACGTGAGTTCCAATACAGGTAGAGCAGACTGCCCTCCATCATGGTGGCCATGCTTGTAATGTTCTTTGTAACACAGCTGGGCATTCAGATGGACTGTTCCTTAATTCTAAATGTGTCTTTCATGTTCAACTCTAGCGTAACACTGTGTCCTATGCTGTTTATTCAAAGATAATGTTATTTATCAATACAGTCAAGATCACATTTAATTAGTATACATATGCTATATTTATGGACATAGGAAAATATCTGCATGCAGTCCTCTCTGAATCCTGGCTGTGCATTGAGCAGACGAGGCTATCCCCTCTCACAGATTCTGTTGCTAAATTCTACCATACAGCCAAATTTAAAAGGGAGCCACATGTTGATATATATGCAAGAAGTCATAAGATTTTACTGGGGAATTTTATTTAAATAACATTAGTAATTTGGGTCACAATTTGAGAACACCAAGACCTTGAGATTGAATGTTCTTATATTCTCTCGTACGTACGAGTACAGATGACATTATTCAGTGCACTTTCCTGGAAGACAGAAGACAGAAATATTTCAGTAAAGCTGATAAAATTGACATCTAGGAAATAATTAACTAAGCACTATCCACATATGAGAATTCTGGGAAGTTTGAAAAGAGATCTACATTAGATTATACAGATAGGTACTACTGGTTTACATTTTATCCGTCGTGGTCTATATATACAGGCTATGCAAATATATATTTAGAGATTTGAAAAGAGAAGGGACTATAGTTTGGAATCTAATGCTTTTATTTACGTATTTTAAGGTGCTACACCAAAGCATTTTTGCTATCTTGTGTACTGTCCAGTTTTTAAATAAGAATACTAACTTACATGGATATAGCATTGCATGATTTTCAGAAAACAGACAAATTCAGTTCTCTCAGAAAGCCTTCTGAGATACCATTTAAGGAATTGTGATTCATGGGAAGATTAAATGACTTGTCCAAAGTTCTGATTGACAGAGGTAAAACCTTAGATTCTGAGTCTAGGTGTTCTTCCTAGAGAAATTAATTGCTACTATTGAACCATTGTTTGCCTATTGGCTAATGTTATTCTTTCTTTCTTCAAGACAGGGTTTCTCTGTGTAGCCCTGGTTGCTCTGAAACTCACTCTATAGATCAGGCTGGTCTTGAACTCACAGAGTTCCACCCACCTCTGCCTTCCAAGAGCTGAGATTAAAGGCATGGGCCCCCACCATCCAGCAATAAACTCATTCTTTATCCTCTCCTTTTGTTGTTACAAAAAATAAAATTCAGCCTTCCTTACAGCAAGAAAAATGTCCTGTATTAAGAGTGAGGACAGACCTTTTTCTTTTCCTCAATGCAGATCTTATGTCTTTCCTTTGAACTATGTTACATTATGCCAGAGATTGCCAGAGATAGTTTTCTTTTTCTTTTTTCTTTTTTTTCCCATTGGTGCTGGTAGAGTTTGGGATAAGAATCATTGCTTGGATTCCCTCCCATCTCTAGAAGTGGGAAAGGTATCTGGGAAGCCTTGCTGAGAGAAGCAGAAGGGTTCAAAAAAAGGCTAATTGGCATTTAGCCAGGTGAGTTCTAATCCCAACACCTCCGCACCAGCTTTCTGTGAGTAGGTAGGTCAGTGTATGCGTGATGTGTTTTCTGTTCTGTTCGATGGACTGGTGTGTCTTAGCTCACAGGATTAGAATGAGGATCAAGTCAAGAACAACATGGGGGTGCTGTAGAGACACACACTTGCCCTGAGTCAGTTCTCCTCACCCTTACACTGGGAAGTACTGCAGCACCTGAACTTCACACCTAACTTAAACCCTCTCTTCTTCTAAGCAGTGACAAATCAATCCTGCCCCGGGGCAGAGCACCACAGCAACCTTCCCTCACTGCTGGAGCCTTCATTGCACAAGTCTGCGCTTGCTTTCCCTCATGCGTAAGTGGGAGAGCCAGGGACACATTATCTTTCAAATCTTTTTAGAGCTTCAACTCCTCAATCCATATGCATTTCAAATTCTTATGAAGACATGGTTGTCTGCAAATGTTCCCGCTCAACTCTTGTAAGAGAAGCAAGACTCATTTTCTTGCTTTAGGATAGGCTACTTGGGTGCTTTTCTGGTAGATGTTGTGGGAGCCGAGGAAAAAAAGTGCGAAACTGCTCACCACCACCATTTTCCCGTCGACCAGCCTTCTGCGGATCATGGCTTCTTTGCCATCCCAGTCCTGAACTTGAACCAAGGAGTCGTTATCTAAGATTACTATATTCTGTAAAACAGAACCGAATTCAGGTTGACACATTTGAGTATTGATGTCTCTTAGAAGGGGCTAAATTCACATTTGTTGGGACACTGTGGATTTGAGATGATATTAAACTTTTTGTTTCAAAACCTTCCCAGCAGCACTTTGTTGGATGATTCTTCCAGGGGAGGGGAAGATTTATAAGAATAAAAGTAATGACTTAAGGAAGAACTTTATCTTTTACAGTCTAGAGAAGGTCTTATTTTTATCAATCAGAAATAAGCATCAGTTTCAACAACATGAAAATCATTCAAAAAGTCCCAATAAAGCTTAAAGGAGCAAAGTCCCCTTCCCTGTTCTTACCCATAGTATTTCTTATGATATTTGTTTGTTTTAATTGCACTTTTCTCCTTAGTTTCTTTTAAAGATTTTATCACAGATATCTCAGATGCCTTTATTAATTGTCTCAGGTCAAAATTCTTTCAATTTACATACACCAGAATTCTAAGTCTCCTGTTTATTTAGTAACTCTGTGTCAAAAGGGTACAATAATTCCTTTTATCAGAATGTTGACCTTAGTAGAGAGTAAGAGTCCTCTACTGAGGCCTTTCACTCAAACAGAAAGGATTTGTTGATCAGCTACTATCCACCAAACACTGGGCTCTGGGAAACAGATGACAAATGCCGTTGTTTAGATGGCACAATCTAGTATGGGGAAAACTGAGAACACACAAAAATAAAACACAGGTAAAATGTATATTATAAACAGATGCTATATTTCAATTGGAGGCATGAGATGCATGTAGAAGTTATATCACTTTCAGGCTACGCAAATGTGCAAATGAACAATGTAGTGTATCTTTCTCCTCCTTGTTGACTGAGGAGACCACACTACCTACAATGGTGCAGTTACAAGGAATGAGGTATGTGAACCTCCTTTGGCCTGGGTCCCTGAGAAATTAAAAACCTTACACACACACACACACACACACACACACACACACACACACACACACACACACACACACTTCCTTATCTCTACCCCAACACTTTATACGGATTTTGAGTTAGAAATAATTCTCCATTGTGTTTTAGCTATTGAGAACCTCAGATTCATGGGACCGGATTATAATCTCATCTCTATCAGCTAAGACAAGTTGTGTCCACTGTAAAATTCCATGTGTGGAGCCTACAAAATGAAAGGGAGAACTTTTATTTCTGAGAGATTAAATACTGATTTAGGTAGACCACTCTCCAAATATGGTCCCCTGAGCATTGCACCAGAATCACTGTCTACTGCGCATTTTCAGGTGCTCGCCCAAGACTTCATCCCCTCCACCCAGGGGGAAACGTAATGGGCAACTTCACAGGATCTAGAGCGACCTGGGAAGAGTCTTAATGAGGAATCGTCTCGATCAGTTTGGCCTGTGGGTGTGTCTGTGGGGGACTGTCCTGATGGCTACTTGATGTCAGAAGATCCAGAAGATTAGCTGATAGAGATGAGGTTATAATCCTGTACCATGAATCTGAGGTTCTCAATGGCTAAAACACAATGGAGAATTATTTCTAACTCAAAATCCATATGAAGTGTTGGGGTAGAGATGAAGAGGTGTGTGTGTGTGTGTGTGTGTGTGTGTGTGTGTGTGTGTGTGTGTGTGTGTGGCTTTCAATCTCTCAGCCATGCATGGCACCATTCCTTGGGCTGGGGAAGGGAATGGGTGAACAGTATAAGAAAGAACTAGCTGAGAACACGTTAGAAAGCAAGCATGTGTTTGTTTTCTCTCTGCTCTTGACTGGATGTGATGTGACTAGCTGCTTGAGCTCCTGCCTTGGCTTGACTTTCCTGAAATGATGGACCATGACTTGAAATTGTGAGCCAAATAAATCCTTTCTTCTCAAGTTGCTTTTTGTCTCATTGGCAGAAATAAAACTAGAACAAGTAATAAAATGTACCTTCCACCTCCAAGGGATAAAATATAAAAATCTGGAGACATCTTAATGTATACTTTCTTTCAACATCTTCAGGTTCAGTGTTTAGGCAAAAATTTGTTTAGGAAACCCTTGAAATGTATGTTGGCTGTTGCTGCCTAATACAATATTTCTAATTAAATATCAGTTCTCTGAAGGTCTGATGCAGGCCTCACCTTGTTTTTGCGGCCACTTGGTGTGATTTCCTCAAACTCCTCCCCCAGCTTGAAGGAAATCTCACTGGTTTTGAAGATGCTTTTGGTTTTGATGGTGATCACATCTCCATCTGCACTGATGGTCACGGTGGGTTTTGCCAGACAGCCCAGCTTCCTGTTGACTCTTCCTACTCCTAGAAGGAAGATAATGGACACATAGTTACATGTGTTGTTGACTTCGAGGACTCGTTCTATTTGTACAATTCTTTCCTAAGGAGGAGGTTTCTGCAGTAAGCAGACTTCATGCTGTATGAGTTCAAATACTTATTTTAATCGCATTTACTTATTTGTGTGTGGTGTATGTGTACATGTGCATGGGTTATTTGTTCTCTACTACACTTTTTAAGGTTATACATTTTATTATTAAAAACTTTGCAAATAAATAAAAACATTACATACCAAAATTTACCAGACCCAAAGTTCTACACAACTCAGTATTACATATTTTATTGTAGCAAAATACATGTAACAAATTTACCATTAAATGTGCAATCAATGGCATTATTTGCATAGTGATGTTGTATAGCCAATTCTATAGAGGGTCTTAAATATATTATTAATGCATTAAATATATTGTTATTCAACTTTCCTTTCTTTAATATTTATGTCTCAGATATTTTAATGTAAGTACACACACGCACACATACACACACATAATATGCATCATCATGTATGAGATGCATATACCAAAGGTTATTTTTTGTCCCCCCCCCCCCCCCCCCCCCGTTGAAAACTGATTAGTTTATATTTTTGTTGCTTCAAATGCTGCTTCAGAGTTAACCTTGTGCATACAGTTTTGGGCAGTACATGTAGGAATGCTTTCAATAGAAATAGAATTCCATGGGCAGCAATATCTAGGGTAGTTTTTTTTTTTTTTTTTTTTTTTTGGTTTTTCAAGACAGGGTTTCTCTGTGTAGCTTTGTGCTTTTCCTGGAACTCACTTTGTAGCCCAGGCTGGCCTAGAACTCACAGAGATCCGCCTGCCTCTGCCTCCCGAGTGCTGGGATTAAAGGCACATGCCACTACCGCCCGGCAGTTTTTTTTTTTTTTAGCAGGTGACTTGGGGAAATATTATAATGCAGTTCTCATGTTTTCTGTCGACATATAATCACAGCATAGATCATATTGGAAAATTGCTTCCAAATGATTCATATCCTAATTCCTGGAACCTGTGGGTATTTCCTTGTATGCTGAGGGGATGGAGGAGGTGTGCAGTACGAGGACAGTAAGGAGATTATCCTGGGTGGTGAGAGAACTCTCAGTGAGATCACAGTGCGCTCCTAAGAGAAAGCGGGCAGGTAACGAGATGGCTCAGAGGGGAAAGAAAAGACTCATGACGTAAGTTCAGCATCAGCACCCACACAAGGCAGAAGGAAAGAACCAAGATTCCACAGAGATGTCCTCTCACCTCTATACCACACCATGGCCCAGGTACCCACACAATAATAATTAGCTAATAATAATTTTTTAGAGGAAAGATGTATTAGACTACAGAAGAAAAAAAGGTCAGAGAGAAAATGGCAGCAGAAGTAGTGCTGAGCTCACATTCCGAGGAATGCCAGCAGCCACCAGAAGCAAGAGGACGAAATTCACTAAAGATCAAAGCAAATGTTTATAAAAACAGATACTTCTTAAAAGTATGCTTTTATCACAAATTATTTACTAAAATAGTTTTCTGTTCAATATATAATGTATATGCACTGTGTTTCTATGGGTCCGTGGAGATCCACTAATCTCAATCCAGTTTGCACAGAACTGCATCTTGGTGGTGAATCAACATTGTTTTCTATGTGAAAGATTGCTCTTATTTCACACACAGCAAGTCATATGCCATCAAAGTATCTTTCATACTGGATATGATGTGCACTTAAACATGGCTCACCCAGTTCCTTCAAATAGTTTTCAAAATTTTCACAAGAAACAGATTTCCATGTTCCTTGAAGCTGGTCCACCATCAGGTCTCAGTGAAAACTGCTTCATATGGATGTGTACAGTGGTGTTCCCTGAAATGGGTTTGGAACCTGTTTTTAATACAATTCTGAATACAGAAAGCTAGAAGGAAAAGTGAGGAACTCCCACCTTTACAATTCAAAAGTTCTCTACAGCATCCAGAGGCCAGGATGGGAACAGACAGGCAGTAACCTTCAGCGGGATTAGACATGGCTAAGCCAGCACTTACAGGAGGCTACTGCCCTTCTCCAGCACTGGCCACCACACAGACGATCCGAGTCCTCTTATGCCACAAGACTCCTGCGCCAAGATCTGCATCTGCGCACAGATGATTTGTGAAAAGCCACAATACTAGCTGGCTGGTGATTTTATTTTCTCTTATATTCTTCTTGACCATTTGAACTAAAAGCCAGAGAGTATGCTATAGTGCCTGACATTTGAAACTGAAAGTTTAGTCAGGCTTAGAACCACCATTGCATACCCTGAGCAAAAGACTGTAACTAAAACAATAGGAAAGAGGGTAAGTTTTCCAGGGGCCTGGTCCGGTGCTCATCAGCCGAGGCTTGCCTTGCTTGGACAGAACCCAACATTCTTAGCCAGCTCCTTAACTTAGAGTGGTTCTCTTCTTTGCAACCAGAGGTAGGACAGTAAACACATCAACTAGAGAACAGGACTGCAAATGACAAATTGAAGGACAAACTCACCCTTAAATCCACCAGCCCCTGAGGACTTCCTGTTGGGTTCTAAGCAATGCTTGGAATCTGTTAGCATATGACCACTAAGAAATGTAGGTGTTACACATTCCTTAAGACAGAAAAGGTGGTAAAACTTTTATAATTCCCATTAAAATGTTCAATTTCCAAAACCCACAATAACTGCGAAGATCATTAACCAGTTCAACTGTTTTCCTAACAATTATTCAACAAACATAAATGGAGCAACTAGTGTTACATGCCTAAGAAGACTAAGAGACTTTGTGTACGCTATTAATTAAACATCCCAGCCATAGTGGTAAGGAGACAATAATATTTTGGTTGGTTCTTTCCTGAGTTAGGCAACTTGACAACATGATTTATATATATTAATGTATAAATATTGTAAGTTTATGTCCACCCCATGTAGCAGTCATGAGTAGTAGGCAAAAAAAATGACCTGGTGGTTCTCAAATAGAAGGCACTAAAATTCCTCTGTTGAACATGCTACTGCACATGTTATTGTCCCTCCTGAACAAGACATGATGCTGGAATGATGTTGCTCTGTGGCTGATAACTTACGTATTCTGAGGTGCCAGTGGCTGAACCATGACACAGAGTTCAGGCATAACTTCTGTCTCTCGCACCCGACTCCTCTCTTCATGAGGCAGCAAGTCAAGTTCAAGCACTAGCTAACCTTCAATGGCAAGGTTGCTTAGTCGACTTGGTTATTCAAGTGATGGATCCTTTCTGGTGTTCATTAATACGAGTCAATCATCTACATTCCATCCTGCACCAGCCATGCTTGTCTGCCATTCTCCAGCCCCTCCTCCCAGATTTCCAACCAGCCTCTGTAGTCTGTTACTATGTGTGTATTCCTGTCCCAAGCCACTGCTCCATCCACATGAACGAGGTGACCGATACACCACTCTGTCCATGGAAACCATTTCCCCTCACTACTTCTTAAGCCCCCTCCCACTCTCAAAGTAATAAAATATTGGCCATTGCCACTTGCTCCCAACACTGAGCTGGCTAACACATAGAGCATATGTTCAGGATTTACCTCCCGACTTTGACTGGCTGTACCCCTTCCCATATTGTTCTGGTACCATCTGCAGGTGGGGGAGCTTCTGGTATTGAGATATGTGACGTAGGAGTCAAGGCTGCTTGCTCATGAGGTTACCTTGTGACTTTTGGACTTCCTAAACTTGCTCTCAGACACAGTTTAGTCCTATGGTGGACTGCTGCTGGGCCTGCGTGGGGTAACGACTGTGCATCTGTAGAGTCCAGCTCATAATGGATAGTTCCATTCCCTGTGGAGTCCTCTAACTCAGAATTCCATCACTACTTAACTACCTAACACAGGAACTCTATCAAAATGCACCTATGTTTCTGTTGATGATAGTGTGCCATTGCCCAGCAACACCAGAATTTCATGTTGTAATGTTCCCATACACACCCTGGGCCATCCTGTCTCTTTCCTGCTACTAATGATCCAGCATTGGAGGGCTTGTCAATCTTAAGGCTCAAGCTGTTACTGTCACCCCAACTTTCTGCAGATCCCCCTCATGCATGCTGCTCCACTCAAAGCAAGAAGACTGTCTCATCTGCAACACATTACATCACCACCACGAACCAAGAGTTTCTACAGAATGTTAGTAGAAGAGGCAAAATAGAGCAATCTGTATTTTGGAGAGATGACTGTAAGTGGCCTTGACTAAGCTGGACCCTTAGACTCCATGAGAATAGAAGGACTCTCAATAATTTTGAAATATATTTTATTTTTTGGTTGAATGTGTGTATCTGTGTGTGGCTATGTGTACATGAGAGCAGGTGCCCTCAGGGTCCAGAGGTGTTGGATCCTTTTGAATTACAGGTGGTTGTGAGCCGTCTGACATGGGTGCTAAGAATCAAACCTAGGTCCTCTAAAAGAGAAGTGTATGGTCGTAAGCACTGAGCCATCTCTCAATCCTCAGGATTATGTTTTGTTGTTTGTTTTCCTTTGTTGAGGGTATTCTTTTGTTTTTGTTTGATTCAAAGCCTCACTATATGGCCCTGGGTGGCCTGAAAATATCTATGTAAACCAGACTGGCCTCACATGCACAGAAATCCTTCTGCTGCCCCAGTGCTGGGAGTCAAGGGGATGTGCCACCACACCCAGCTCATCACCATTGTCAACCCCACACTCTGAATTGCACATGTCTTACCAATGCCTCCAGCATGTTAGTCTCTCCTTGTTCAGCCCTCTGCCCCACAGGGTGTTGTGTATCAGTTGTCCACATAGTTCACTCTCACCTGGCTGTATGATGACAGAGACCAGAGGTTTATCCAGTCCTGGGACTAAGGTGCACATATACTCTCTGCTTCATGGAAATGCAGTTTGTTGTTATCTTTTCCAGTCTTTTCTGGTTGGGACAGAGAAGGACGACCAGTCACTACCAGCAACTATGCAGTAAGGATGAGCTAATTTGTGCGAGGGAGAAACCCCTCAAGCAGAGCCAGCCATGGCATAGGTGTAATCTGAGTGTGCAGGAGCCTTTAGTCATCCTCCAGGATGCGTGTGTGGCACACCAGCACAGTGTGCTAAATGAGGTACGAGCTGCACACTGCTTCCTATGTTCCTCAGCAGCTGCAGAGTAGCATGGACATCTGCCGTTTGTCCCCATCACCATCACTAAATACACTTTTATTTTTGCTTCTGCTGGGAATCAAGCTTGGAGCCTTAAATACAATAGGCAGACATGCTACCATCAAGCCACACTCCCAGTTCCCAGATACAACATCATTTGATCTACTATTACAGCCAGGGCAGGAGAAGGGTGAGGTTGGGGATGTGCAGAAATGTGCCCCTTGTTAAGGTAGTTATATTCTTAGCCTGGCAGTAAAGTGCTGCCAGCTGGCCCACTTACCTTCAGATTCTCTTCATCCCCTTTGTTATCAATGAGCCAAACTCCATGGCAACCATAGAAGAGCAACTGAAACTTAGTGACTCTGTGGTCTCTCCCATTGGTGCGTCCCTAATTGCCCCATAAATGATGTAGCTTCTGGACTTATGATGCATACTCCTCTGATTTTCTACACACACACACACACACACACACACACACAAACATACATACACACACACACACACACACACACACACACACACACACACACCCTTTCCATAGAAAGATATAGAGATGATAATGATCTGCAATAAATCTTAAAACTTGACCACAAAGGAGATGAAAGCCTCACCATACAAGATTTCCATCTTCTGGCACACTGAATTTGAGTTATTCAGCTGAGCCACTTGAAGTACTTTAGAGCTGGACAAGGAACAATTAGCCCTTCAGAACCTACTGATTGAAGATCCCCACACTGTCTTTCCTTTCACAGGGGGACTTGAAAGAGACACACAAAATGCTCCCAGCATTATGAAAAAATTTAAAACTGTGCTGAATCTCCCCATTCTTTCATATGAATGCCTAGCAATGTAACAGGAAGCTATAGAATAGGTATTTTATTGGTTTGCAACATTCATAATATCAAACAATTTTACAAATCTATAACATGTTATTTTTAACTTTTAAACTACATTTGAAGCATGAATTCATTCAAGAAATAGTCTGATTTGGATTCTTTCTTTTAAGCATGTATAAGAAGGAATTAAGAACAGAGTAACAGTTTATTATATTCCAGAGGATGCAAGGCTCCAAAACCATAAGCATTTTTAGACATAATAAATAACATCAAAACTACCAGAAAAAAGAGAAAGCATTAGAAAAAACTATTGTTGTCTTCCTCTTACCAAGAATAGTTGTCTATTTAGCAAGACAGGGATCCTCTGTAATACCTGTAAGGTCTATTAATAGTGAGCAGTGTTTGGAAAATTACGACTATTTACTCTATATCAGATTCCTAAGTTCTCACTACCATGGCTCTTCTTTAAATGGTTTGGGGGATGATAATTACATCTTTCTCCTCTTTCCTCTCCCCAAACCCTCTCATGTGCCCCCTCCTCTTTCTTCTTTAATTGTTGTTACAAATATATATGTGTATATATCTTCCTTAATGCATAAATGCGACCTGTTCAGTCTGTATGTATGTTCTCAGGACTGACCACTTGGTATCAGATAACCAATTGGTGTGCTCTTCCCTGGGAAGGACTGTTTCCCCTCCTTTCAGCATGTCTGAGTTGCCTGGAGTTTTTTGTGAAGGGCTGGGGTCTCATGGGATTTGTTCCATCCATGTTACCGTGTCTATTCACGTTGTGCTTGCTGAGGTCATGTTTAGGCAGCCATGTTGGTGAGACTTTACGGGCATAGCTT